ACAGATAGTCCTAGACTTACAACTGACGCTACAAAAATACAGATAGTCCTCCTCAGCTTACAATTGAGACAGTAATTTCTGTTAAGTCACCCCCAATTTTATAACTTTTTTTGGCCATGATTCATTTATTGTATGATTGCTAAGTGAATCCAACTTTCCTGATGGATGCTGCTTGCAGGAAGCCAACTAAGAAAGTTGTAAATAGTGAGCACATGACCCCAGGATGCTGCAGTTTATTGTAAATTCATGCCAATTGCCAAGAACCAGAATTCTGATCACATGACTGGAGATGCTGCATCAGTTGTAAGCGTAAGGAAGAGTTGCAAATCACTTTTTCCAATGCCATTTTAATGAATGCTCATTAAATGAATGACTGTTAAGTTGAAGACTAACTGTAATGAACAAACTCAACATTAAATAAGTTAATAAAGAATAAACGATAAAATTAAACAAATATCCCTTACCTCATCTTTTGTTTTGGCCTTGTCACCCTTGGTATCCCCTTCAGCCTACAAGAAATTTTAGACACAAAATGGTTAAACAAAAGGTTTTACCATTTATTTTGTAAATACTAAATGCATAAAGCAAATTGATGGTTACCTAAATTTACATACTAATTTATTAACTAATTCATTTATAATTTACATTTGCATAAAACTTCACAACCATTTCAATTGTCTATTTTTCTTACATAATATCAAATTCAAACTTTCCTAAATTAACAACCTGATACTACTGTACTTGTAAGTCATAAATCGGAAATAGCATAGAGTGGAATCAGCTCATTTTAAGAAATAACAATAACAAAAAAACCACAACCAGGTAGATATTCCTTTGGGTACTAAGACTTTTGGCTGAAGCATCCAAATTTTGGAAGAGAACACTTATGGCTCAGGGTTGAACTGTGGGGTCTCCGAGCTTGACTATTTGCACCCAAATTCTATTTGCAGTGAAGTGTCTGAAGGATAATACTCTTAGAATTGTTCCAGAAACTAACTTCTCATGTTTAGAATTATTCTAATAAATTAAAAATATCTTGTTTTCATATATTGATAAACACAACTTTGCATTTCTGCACATTACACAACCTTGAAGACAACTGTGCTTGTGAGTTGTATGATAACAGCACTGACAGATGTCTCTTATTCAGTTTCATTATTCCCCAACACAGCAGCTCTAAGCAATATAATGACTGCTTTTATTTCAAAATACCATGACCTCAACCAAATCCATGCGACACCAAAGATGTTATTTATTTCAGGAATTCTGATCTCACAGAATGAAGCATTTTGCCTAGCTCTACAACTGCTAGACTTCAGAAACTAATCTCACATTGAACTGCACAGTCTTTCTTTGCTTTAAAAGCACACTTCCATTCAGGCTTTTCCCCAAATTGTAACTGGGCAATGAAACCCAGAATGTCTCTTGCAGAAGATGTGAACTACTATTAGGCAAGCAAGTCAAAACAGGAGCATGCTGTAAAACAGTAACTCCTTGGCGGTGATGCTATTGCCCTGAAAACTAAATGGCTTCAGCCTACAAGCTTCCTTCATTTTAAATAACAAATGCGGTTTTCCGAACAACAGGTGCGAGGGGCAAGATTTAAAGCGCTGGGCAAAAAGAGGCATCATTTATCTGGCGGCCTTGCTAATCTCTAAGGCCCTTAAAAGAGGGCTTGGAATGGGAGTGTCCCTCTAATGGTTTTCCCGCCCTTTTTGAATTTACGTGCGTGTGGGGGAGGGTGGAGAGAAAAAGACGGCGTAACCTCATTATTTAAGCGGGCGAAGGAGGAGAAGCGAGGGGCCCTCCTGCTTCCCGCCGCCTTCAACGGACGGTGCATGTGGGTCTCCTTCCGGTCAACGGCCCTCCCGCCAAAAAAAAAAAAAAAAAGGCGAACCGATCGCCCCGCTTTCTTTTCCCTCAAGTGGACTACTTCCCTCCCTTCTTCTTCCCCCCCCCCTCCGCGCCTAAGTCGGCGCGTGCCCCTTCCCGATTGGCAGGCAAGGCGAGCGCGCGGGCGAGGGGGCAGCCAATAATTAAGCGGTTTCTCGCGCTTCTCTGCGCGCGCGCTGGCCGTCTCGCGCTCTCTTGTCACAACTACCCTGCCCCGCCCGGAGCTTTGCCTGTGTAGTCGCTCGCGAAGTCAAACCCCCCCACCCCAACACACAGACACCGCGCGCGCGCCGCCTTTCCTTCATAGGCCACCAAAAATGCGCGGCGGTTAACGGTCGCTTCCCCTAAGCTCCGCCCCCTCCTCCATCCCCACTTTTTTAAGTCCCGAAGACGACCGTTGAGCCGTCTCGCGCGCACGCGCTTCCCCCCTTGACTCGCGACCGTTAATCGCCCGAAGGCGAACGAAGCGAAGGGGGAGGGAAAGGGAGCGAGCAAGCGATCGAGTGCAGGGAGGGAGTAGAGAAGAAGAGAAAGAAAATGGCGTCTGCTCTGAAAGCTCACCCCCGCATAAGCATCCCTCCCTTCGACTACACGAAATTCTTTTCCCTCTTCCTTCCCCTTCGCCTCCGGGCCCTTAAGTTTCTTTTCTTTTTTTTTTCCCTCGCCGCAGCCACGTACCTTTCTCTTGGGCATGTCAGCGGCGCGTGAGGGAGGGAGAGCGAGAAGGCGGCTCGGATTGAAGCGAGAAAGGCAAGGTCTCTCTAGGAGGAAGGAGAAACTCGGATGTATGGGAGGGAAAGCCGCGCAGAAAGGGAGGACGGAAAATAAAAACAAGGAGGGGGGGAAAGGGGATTCCGTTTGTTGGGCTCGCTCGTGTAGCTCGCGACCCCACTAATTTGAATCGGGTGTTTATAAAGTTTTATATAGAGCCGGACGCGGCCCAACCGGTTCCAGCCGGATCCCCACCGCCCCGACCAACTATTGGACAGAGCGGGTCACGTGGCGAGGGACAGCCAGCCAGGGCGGGTTCTGCGAGGGGAGGTGAAGAGAGAGAGCGAGAGCGCGCGCGCAACTGAATGTCCACCTTTATCTCCACCAAAGCGGCCGTTTGGTCCTGCTGCAAGTAGACCTCAGATTGGTTTGATTCTTGAAAAGTGAGAACAGGTAGAATAAAGAAACGGTATGCCCACCCCCACCCCCGGCTCCGCTCGCTACTCCGAAAGAGATAAAGAAAAAATGGGTTATTTTGCTGGAGGGAACCGTTCCCCCCCCCCCTGTGATTTATAAATCTAGCGAATGGATGGCAAAAATAAAAGACTTTCAACGTCACTCTGGCTGCCACCCACCGTGGTAAATAAGAACACGCCTGGCCCCGAGTATTAATGCGTCGCACAAGTCATTCTCGGCTGACCCGGGAGACAGGGCGACTTCCCCACGACGATCTGAGAGCCGCACGGCTCAGGTCAGCCAGCCGAAGCTTTGCAGCCTTGTTTTTTTTTGGGGGGGGGGGAATCCAGGCAGCCTAATGGCTCTTTGGGGACGAGTGGGAAGGTGGAGTTCCCCGGCGCACCTGGGCAGCCGAGGCGCGCGTTTCCCTTCGGGAGGCGCAGAGCGAAGGGCCGCCGGGTTTGCGGACGAGAGCGCCTCTGTCCGACCGTTAAAACCCCGTTTGACAGGAATCTGGGTGCAAGACACGGGGGAAGATGGTGGCCTCTTCCCTGCGCTGGAAGGGAAGAGGAAGGTGCGGTCATTGCCTCGCCACGGCGGAACGCAACCCACAGCGCCCCCTTCCTTTTCAACCTTGGCTGCGAAGTGGCAGGGTCTCAGCCGGGAGCAGGCGGCAAGAAAGGCTTCACGTGAAGAAGGCGCCTGTGGAAAAAACAAACAAAAAACAAACGTAGTGGTGGGGGACAAGTGATGGCTGGTGGGTCCACCTTTCCTTCCCCCACACCCGAGGCGCTTCCTTCGTGGGGTCGAGCGGGGAGCTGTCCTTTTCAGCACCATGTGGTTATGCTACCACAATCCCCATCTATTCCAAGGTCAAAAACACACCTGCAAAAAGTAGACAGACCACCACCATCGCCCTCCTCTCACACAGTTGAGAACACAACCATACGAACTACATTTAACCAGCAATCCAAATTAGCGTTTGGCAACCGGCATTACAAAGTATGGCTGACCTACCCTTCTTGTGGACTGAGAGTTGCCTAGAGGCAACTGGTTGATTACTCTGGAAAGATGATGGACAAGTGTCTTTATTTTTGAACCTAACTGGTTTGTACCAAGTTGGAGGAACCTAATTTATATATCTGCTGTGTTTCTTCCTCTTGGGTCTCTGCTAGGGACTGAAACTAGCCTGCCACATGCAAAACATTCACTACCACTGAATATGCAGCCATTCTCTTAAGCCCACAACAAATCAGGTGCAGTAAGTGGATGGTTCTATTTAAAAATAGAGACTAGGATCTTTTTTCAGATGATTTATATAATTTTGGTTAGATTGTAGCTATGAATGGCTGGCCTTTCAGATTTTGTAGGGAACAGCAGCTAGTGATTCCATGTTTGTGGGTGGTGAAGAAAAATAAACGATAGCGCTGCTTCTCTGTAGCCACATTGGTGCTTTGAATTGATCTCCCATTGGAGATCAAATTTGCCCCTCACTTGTAATATTTAGAAAACTACAAAATTAATTATTCCAGAGAGGATTTTTGCAACCTTCCCAACTGAAGTTCTTGTGCTTTTCATTTCTTTTTAGTTCACTCCTTTGTCATTTATGTTGGTAGAGTATGTGATAATTGAAATCATGATTGTGCTGTATTCGTTAAGAGTTCTTTGGATACAATGGGACATGAATTCAATAAACTCAACAATTTTTCTTTTTGAGTGAAAGGCATTAGAAAAATTGGATTCTCAACTAAACACATATAACAATGAAACAAAGTGTTCCTCCAGTTGCTGTAGTTAATGGCTGGAGCCCATCCTTTTACATTTAAAAAGTATTGGAAAATAGTGTTTGAAGCCACTTAAAATACAGGGTTTTAAAGTGTCAAGTATCCTGCCTCAATTTTTTTAATCCATCTGCATTCTATACAATCAGGTTTATAGAATTCTAGATAAAAACTATTGGAGAAAACACTATTGTTTTGCTTAAAGTCTTGTAAGTTGGTCTCTTGCTTGAATTATCTAGGAGCCCTAAATACTAGGGTAGCATTTCTGTACCATGGCCACTTGAAAATATGTGAACTTCAAAGAATTCCCCAGCCAACATAAGGTGACCAAGACTGAGAAACACTACTAGGGTCAAGAAGCCTAGTATGGCCACAACAGACATCAGCTGAATTGTTCACCCAGGATCTGCACAATGAGTATGAATGCTTTAATCCTATCTTTGACTTATTAAGCACATAAAAAGGAATGCCCATTCACATTCAACTTGACATCTCATTGTCAACTTATTCATCAAAATAAGCTCAATGTGTCTGCTGACTGAGTTGTGGATGAGCATGTACTCCAGCCCACAATAAGCCATATGCAAGACTTTCATATAGGTATCTAGGAGTTTCTGCTGAATGGGTAAAGCAGATGACTGGCCATAGGACTGTAACACAATATAGCACAGTTATAATGCTGCATAGTAATTAGCCTTTTGTTGAGTTCTGGGCCACCAACAGTTGCTTTTTAGTTACCTATGTTCATCTAAATATCCAACAGGAATCAATGCTCAATGAAATAAGTTGTTCAACTGCACACTTTACAAACACAAGCAATATCTATAATGACACACACTACAACCCTGAAGGTCTGGGAGCCTACCTTTGATTTCAGTATCATATAGGGATTTTTAAAGATGTGAAATCTCTAATTATCTATTAAATTTCCCATTAGCCTTTTTCAGGAAACTATCAGAAATTTGTTTTTAATGGTTAATATATTATCTCATCACCAAAGGATTTTATGTGGTTGGGATTTTTATTTATATTTTTTTTACAGTAATAAGGATCTTCAGAAGTAGAGATCAAATGAAGCAGCCTTTCAGATATAATAGTAGTAACAGATTAAATTACTGCATGGGAACAAAATACCCATTAATTTATTGGTCACCATTTCCCCCCTGTATATGACCTCAAATTTATTTATTTTTTAAATGGCTCCAGCAGGTTGTTAAAAATCAATAGGCTTGACAACTGGGTTCATCCCTCACAATTTCAAAATTAAGTGCTTTAGAATGATACACCCATACTCTCATTTAGTCTTTGAAAAACAGCATGAAATAATTGGTGGTTTCTTTTGGGAAACAAAATTTTTGTACTTATAGTTGATGCCCTTTATCTTTTTCAGAGTTATTTACACCATACTGCACTTTTGTGTAAAAGGACATTTTGTACTGTTATCTAAAGCTAAAATGCCTTCTCAAACCCATTTGAGATACTGCATCAAAAACACCTTGAAGTCCTGTTGTACCCAGCACATTCCCATAATCTAGAAGGATATATATAGTTAACCTGAAGGATGATATTTTCTTAGCTTACTAAAGCCAGAGGAACAATGCATGTTCCTGAGAAACTTACGTACAATCTGTATCACAAGTTGGTATCAAGAATGGAAAACAAACGGTCCAAAACCAGTTGATATTAAAATGGAGGCAACAAAGAATAAACATTTAATTTATTCTAGAATAAATCTGCTTGGGTGCATGCAATGGGGTTTTTCTCTGATCTCCTCAGATGCAGCATCTCTGCATTCCAGGGTAGGCAGCTTCTCAGGATTCTGGTTAAGTCTTTGAATTGTGGAAGAGAAAAACAGCAGATTGTAGAATATGGAGCAAAGCCCCTCAGCATGAGCAGACTTTTGCACCTAGAAAGATTTGATGCTATTCTTTTCATTTGTTAGCTCTACACAAATACCTTTTGTTTCATTAAATTTGGTAAACATACACTTCAAGTGCCATGGTCCCCAGCCATGTGCATGTGCACATAGAATAAACCTAGGGTCCCATTTCATGTCATCCACTGAGCAGCAATTGGATTATTTGCAACCTGGCTCATTTTTCCCCCCTCTTCTCTCCCCTATCCTCAAGAGGAACCTTATCTTGCATCTGCCAATGCCAGTTTTTCTAGGAAGTCTATCCTTTTGTGCTCAAGGGCCTGCAAAAACCTTTGAATTCTCTCTTCCCGTTTAGCTTCGAATTCTCGCAAAAGTGTCCAGCATTTTTGAGTATCTCCACAGGTTGCTGATTCTTCATTTTTCAGTTTCTGTAAGACTTGTGCCTTATCAGTTTCTAACTGTTGCCACTTCCTTTGTTCCACGTATACATCTCTGGCTTTCTGGCAAAAAGAAAAGCAATAATGATTCACTTAAGTTTCTTAGCATAGATCAGCATCACTCTACCAGTACCCTCCACATGTCTTGGACTTCAATTCCCAGGACCTTTTGTCAGTACAAAACATACAAGGCAAACTATATTATGATTTGGCTCACTGGATTCTCTCTATTTATAAAATTCCCTTGGGCCAGCAAGTAATGAAGTTTTAGTCCTTTCTCCTGTAAAATTTTGTGGTCTTTTTCCAAACCTTTTCCTCTCAATTGGCATGGTCACTATTGAAGATCTTTGATGTTTGTACTTTTCCATTCATTTTTACATAACAGAATGAGATAGCTCAGAAAACCCACTTACAAAATTAGAAGCACATTTGCAGCTCATTCCAAATCAAGTTGGGTTGATGGGGCAAAACTGCTAAACTTTTTACTATAAAGCCAAAATGAATCAATGAGAATTCAGTGCTGGAAAATATTCAGCCCATTTGTCTACTGGCTAATAAAACCAGAACTCTACTTCACCCCTTTTTTAGATTTGCATGTACAAACTTTCTAAGATTTCTAAGAGTTCAAAGCCACTTAAATAAAATAATTATATCTTCATAGGACAAGTTCATCCTCTGGTCAAAAATACAAAGTATTGTAAGCAATTATCATATTATTGTCACTATTTGCACAATAAAGAATATCCATGAATTGAAAATCCAACAGTATAGGACTTCAGGGCACTATCTAGAGACCTGTCAGAATAATCCTATCAACTATTTGAATACATTCCAACATCTGTTGCTTCACCAATGCCCAAACCCTTTTGTGTAACTAGGAATACTGATCATCCTTTGAATATTCTCTACTATCCTCATCCCGTCCCCTAACGTTAGTCTGAAAAGCCTCAGCAAGCAAAACATGCTGTTTTCCTGTCTCTGAAATCTTGGGACAGACAGTTCAATTATTTAAAGTACATTTGCTGAGAGCCTGAGATTGCTTTTTCACTTAGCCTTTTCTTTCTTCAGACTTACTTGTAATGCATTGTAGTTCATCTGAAACCGAAGGATGGCCTCGCATAAATTCCAGAACGAATAATCTGGCCACAGAACACTTTGAAACACAAGGCAAGAATGGGACGTCTGAAAAGAAAAAGAAAGGCATTTAATAGAGAGACTAGAAAGGAAAGGAAAGTAATCAAAACACGCAACATTGCTTGATTATTTCAAAACAAACTTCCTTTCCAATTGTTCCATGATTCTGAAATGGACAGTATACTCTGTCCCCTATATCATCTTGGGGACAAGGACTCTAAAAACTGCTCAAGAAAAACGTCGGGCAAAAGTAGCCAGCTTAGAATCACAGAGTGTAAGGATTGGAAGGGATATCAGAAAAAAAATCTCGGCAACGCTTCCATTCAGTGCATCAGCTATACTAAGGAGATATATGCTGTGCTATAGTATAGACGGTATATGCTATAGCCCTGGAATATAGTTAAATGATAGTATGTATACTATACTACAGCCCTTGGCAGCATGCATCAGCCACAGAAAGTAAACCTAGAAAGACCAAACTATGACTGTTCCTGTCAGAAAGTTATAAAAGTGTCCTAAGATAGCCTCCTCCATCTTTTTTCCTTGCTATGAATGTTTAGATTGCAAATTCAAAGGCAGGTTTATTTTATTACCAACATTTGCAATTAGGTTCGTGAGTATTTCTAATATAAAAGTATTGGGCAAAAATGCTTAAAATAAATTTGCTTTCTGGAGTTTGCACCGTCTTGTATAGAAATCAGTCTTGCCAAAAGTATGAAGAAAGAGCCTGTTAAGAGTTTCCAGAAGAGTGTTAACCCCAGATATAACTCTTTACAGCAACTGTATAAAGATTCTCCCCCTGCTTTACCATTGACGAGGAACAACAAAGGGAATTTGTGTATTTTATAGTGAACCAGATAACGGCCCACCTACTTGGTAGTTCCTTAACTAGGATGGCAGAAGGCCACATTTTTTTTCAATGATCTCTTTGAAGCACTTATTATAGCAGTTTCCAGGAAGAGAGTTCGGGGATTTTGTTTTGTTTTTTTAAGAGGAGTGTTTATCACACAAGGTCTTTTCTTATATCCAACAACAAAACCCAGAGAGCTGAATGTCAGATGATTGATTGCAAAGCAAGAAAATACGGTTTTGCTAATTAGCGGGTGAGATATTACATTGCAGATTTACCTGCCAGAGCATAAAATCACTAAGTCGAACTTCTCCAGATGTTCTGATCAGGATGTCTGGATGAGGAGATTTGCAGGAGTAAAGGCATTTGTCGATGAGCGATTCTGACACATCACTGAGGAGGAAGGGAAGGAGGGAATAAGAGAGAGAGCATGCAGAATTTATTTTGAGAAACAATCTTAAAATGCAATTCAAGAATTATGTTAATTCACATAACTATTCCTATTATTGCTACAGTTTGGAGCAAAACTCACACAATATTAATGGCTATTAAAGTTATAGTTATTCACTATTAGTTAATGGTTCATAGTTAGTGGGTAATATTAACAAAGGTGCTAGTTATCTTTGAAGTCCTACATGGCACAAGGCCCAGTTACTTGAAAGACTGTTTCTTCTTCCCATCCCACTAGATTCGATAAATTGGGCACACTGCAGGTCCTCTTCCTCAGATGTTGACACCTGATGGGACCTGACAGGTACGCCTTCTCGGTGGTTGCTGCAGTCCTTTGGGACAGCCTGCCACCTGAGATCTGAATGATCTCTACCCTTTTAGGCTTCCATTAGCCTTTGAAGACCTGGCTCTTTCCCCAAACATTGGACTACGGTGGGGGTTGAGGATGTTTGGTCTGTTGCCTGGAGGGGAAGGATACTCTTGTTTTTAAACATGTTTTTATGAATTGATGTGAGCCACCTAGTCCTAGAGTCCTTGTACGAGATAGGCAGCTAAATAACTAAAAACAATTATGTGACTTCAAACCAACATAACAAGGGACACCTAGGTTTTCTTGAATGTCGCCAGTGTTTGGAATTTATTAAGAATGAGCAGAACAGATATTACACAATTTACACAACTGGACAACTATTTTGATATGAAGCAAATCACACTCTAATGCTTGTTTCTTCTGTCTCTGTACCAGTTTTCTTCTTATCAGTTGTTTAGATGCAATTGTCTTTAGAAATTATAAGACTCTTTTTTTCAGCATTAGTCAACTGGATTCTGGCAAGACTATTAGTAGTTATCAGTCTTAATAGTATGCTCCCTCTCAAATGTTATGATATGCAATGACATTATATGTCTTATTTGTTTCTATATGATAAATTTGTAATTTGGCAGAACCTTAACTTCTGAGCTAAAAGATCTCATAAAATCATTTATATAGTTAAAAACTAAATAAGTTACAGCTGCCCCTTGTTTAGAGATCACTTCAGTTAGACAGCATTTACAGATACAATGGTACAAAATGTTAATAAAAAATCATTGTCTGATAAATGGGTGAATTTACCAAATTTCATGAGCTTGACAACAAAAGTCTTTAGTGTGAAACTGACAGAGATCTGGTCAGTTTCAAGCAGCAGCCCAGCCATTATAATTAAAGTCATAGATGGGCTTGTTAACTTGCTGGAAGAGATAGAAATTTAAGCAATCTCTCCATCCTACAAAGAGGCAAAAAAAGGAAAAATAAATGTCAGGCACAGAACATGACCATTTAGTGACCATTTCATTTCACAAGAAATTTGCTGGAACATATTGTAGTACCGGCAGTTAAATGAGAAGTGCAGTAGCTAGTGGTTAATCAAAACAAACTGAGATTGGCTGAGTCTCCCTTCGTGCACCCCCACCCCACCACAGCAGGCACCAGGCTAGAAAGCAAGAGATTGTGAGTCCCAACTTAGGTCATGAAAACCAGCTGGGTGACTTGAGCCTTTCTCTTTCTTTCAGCTCAACCTACCTCACAGCACTATTGTTGTAAGGAAAACAGGAGGAAGGTGCATTGGATATGTTCACTGCCTTATTTGTGAAAATAGTAAAGGCGGATATAAATAAATGAATAGAAACATGATTTTTAGCCACCTGGAAATGCACAAATATAGCCAATTATTTTTTAAAAAGTAGTGGCATATAATTGAAATTAAAGATTTCAGAGTATAATCTGACTCAGCTGTAAAATATAGAAAGTGCCAGTGGTACCAAAGTTGGAGTTTGCTTTGTTAGCAGAATCTTGTTCCCATAAAGGGAGTCAAGTGCTTTATAATGATCCCTTCCTGATTGCCCCCCTTTTTAATATTTCTGGCTCCAGTGTTGGGACTAGGAAAACTCGCCATAGCCGACTCGCCCTGGCCAACTCATTGCAGGACAACTCGCCATGGGACAAGTCAATGCGGGGTAACTCAAGTGAGGGATGAGTGAATTGCAACGAGGCTTGTCTTGCTTTGGTTTGAAACTTCTCAAGTCCTCGAGGCTTGGTTGAGCTGCAATTCTCCTTTCCCGTGGCAAGTTTTGTCTCATGTTGAATTATCCTGTGGCAAGTTGTCCTGTGGTGAGTTGGTTGTGGCAAGTTGTCAGTATCTGGCTGACTGATTCTTCCAAGCACTTTGCATATCTGTTGCTTTCAAAGTTTTCTCCGTGCTTTAAACATTTACGTATTCATTTTTAGCCCACTAAATATTTTTGAGAACAGCTTCAAGAAAAAATGCAGACAGCTTCCAAGCTAACCCAAGGGCCATGTAAGTGGTATGTTCTATGGCAGTGGGGGTTCCCAAAGTGGGCGGTACCACCCCCTGGGGAGGCGGTGGGATGACTTAGGGGGATGCTAAGAGGCAAGGGGGGCAGCAGAGGAGTGCTGGAGGTGGGCCCCTCACAGGCTGCAATTCAGCTTCGCCCTCACCCCAGTTGCCTAGCTTGCTGGTGGCTGAGAGGAAGGCGAGCCAGGTCTGATCCGTTGCCGCTTGTGTCCCTCCTGGACTCTCTGCAGTGGCTGGGCCTTGCCGGCTAGGGGTAGAGGGGAGGCAACCAGGGAGCACGATGCCATGCCTCCCGCATTGCCCCGTGCCTGCTGCCCCTTCCCTCTACCACTTGCCAGCTTGCATGCTTTGGCTGAATGTGGGCCGCCACTGTGAGAATGATACGAGTCAAGCCTCACGAGAGCAGATCTTCCACCCATGGAGCTTGCATAGCGGCAGCCCGCACTCAGCTAAAGCGCTCAGAGGGGCGGCTGGCAGAGGGGCGATGCAGGCATCATAAGCCTTGTGCTTCCTGGTTGCCTCCCACACTCCCCCTCAGCAGCCATGACCCGCAAGCCCCAGCAACCGACGAGAGGCAGGCTGGCGGTGAGCTGAGTAGCAACGGGTCTGCCCTGATTGGCTCACCTTTCCCTCTGCCACCAGCCGCAGGAGGAAGGTAAGTTTGTTTGCTGTGGTTTGGGCTTTCCTGACTGCCTACAAACTTACCTTCCTCCCGCGGCTGGTGGCAGAGGGAAAGGTGAGCCAGTCAGGGTGGGCTGGTTCACCTTTCCTGAAGCTCACTTCTCCCATGGCTGCAAGGCTGCAGCCTCGTTTGAAGTTCCCAGCCCTTTCCCCAAAAGAGGGAGGGGTGGAAGTCCCACCCGCAGCCCCTTTGTTGGACCCGGAAGCCTTGCCTGCCAGCTTTTCCAGGCAACGCGGAACTGGGCATGAACGGACTATCACGCCCGGTCCCCGGGACTCTCTGGGAGACTCATCACGAGCGACGCTGCCGGGTGACTACCTTGTTGGAAGAGAGAGACAGAGAGAGAAAGGGAGAGTGTTTCAGGTGGGTCTCCTAGCTTAGGAGGAGAGAGCAAAGGAGGAAGGGAAGGGATAGGGAGAGAGAAAGAGAGAGGAAGATACAAGAAAGTAAAGAAAGAAAAGAGAAAGAAAGAAAAAGGGAGAGAGAAAGGAAGAAATGGGATAGACAAAGAAAGAGGGGGGTGGAAGGGACAGAAAGAAAAAACAAAGAAAGAAAGGGAGAGAGGAGAAAGTGAATGAGATATCTAGTCCAATCACCTGCTCCAGCAGGGTTAGAAGGGAGGCACTGTGTGTGTGTGTGTGTGTGTGTGTGTGTGTGTGTGTGTGTGCATGGCTGTCGAAGCTCCAAAAACAGGCCAAGTAGCTCTGGGGAGGTCAGTCATAAATTAGAACACTAATTTAAGCAGCCAGCCATTAAGCGAGGACCACTTGTATTTGGTTTGCCAGTCACATGGCCATGCTCATTATCACATGACCACCAAGCCATGCTCACCCAGTCACGTGACCATGAAGCCACACCTCAAATTAGGCCACGCCCACACCCACAGAACCGGTTAAGAAATTTGAATCCTACCCGTGGGTGGAGGGCCCTGAGGATGAGTTTGTAGCACCAAGGGGGCGGTGGACTGAAAAAGTTTGGGAACCATCTGGGCCTTACCTGGGTTGAAGCAGTCCTTCTTCAACGCCCCAAGCCAACTCTTTCACCGCATTACTGATCTCCTGTCTTGATGTATATGCAAAGCCAATGTTCAAGAAACACCTTTGAATGTGAAAAATAAAGATAGATTATTCACTGTGTAGACTGTAGAGGAAGCAGACCAAGGAATAAAGAATGTATCTACCCAGTAGGAAGGATGACATTGTACTGAAGGAACCAACCTAATCCCATGGACCTTACTTTGCCCGCCAGAAAGGGGCCACTGAGTCCTCTGTGACAGTGTTCACACATTGCATTAAACTTTATAGATATGGCTGTAAAACTAGTCAAACTTAGTCTCAATTAATAAACTACTAGTGCACTAAACCATAGGCGTAACATGATAATTAAACAAATCCACACTTCATTGGGTTCATTTAACATGTTAGCTCATACTGTATTCCAAATTTACAGGCATGATTATGTTTCCCCAGCATTCTATGTGAAAGTTAAACAAATCATATTATGGTTACTGAACAAGCAAATCTAGACTGTAATCAAGACTCAGCATTCTACCTTTTTTTTATTAATCATATTTACACAGCCACCCATGTCACAAAACGTGACTCTGGACAGCATACAATAAATAACAGCTTAAGAAGGTGTTAGTTCAGACAGCTAAAGAACTATTCCATGTACAAAAGCAATGTTCCTCTATATACTAGGTGTAGGGAAGTAACAAAAGAAATACCGGGTGCTCTAAAGTCCTACTTGGTGGTTGGTCACTGTAGTTGAGAGAACCTGAACTAGGGCCACCCATTGAGCTAATCATGCTGAGCTTTCTTAAGAACCCTAATCTGCTGGAACATGCTTCTGAAAAGAAAGGCAACAGAGAGATAATTGGAGATACTGTATGGAGAATGGGAGGTCAAAAAAGGGCACTATGTAGCTAGCTCTCTATATGGGATGTGGCATCCAAGCTAAAATTCTGGCCTGGTGAAGCATGGTCCTTGATCTGAAAAAAACAAAAGTATGCAGTTCGGGAGTAGGAGAAAAAGTTCAAGAAACTGGAAACAAACTCACGTGTTATAATGCTTAGTTGCCAGCACAACCTTAGCAATCAGTTCCTGGATATCCTGTGGCAGAAGGGTCAGATCGCCAAGAATTCGAATACACACACCATGTTTCTCCAAGTTCTCTCTAAGGAAAGGGGAAAAGAAAAACTGAATTCTTAAAAAAAGGAAGCCAAGACTAAGCAATATATATAAAATCACATAACTGAGACTTGGTTATTCAGAAATAAGCTGATAGCTTGAAACAAGACGTGTGACATGGGGAGAGAAACATACATCAAATAGATTTCCTCATGAGCAAGAAAGGAAATGCAGCTACATGGATAATAGTAAGGCAGCAAGAGATTTGAAATTTTCCTATCAGGTTCTCCAGGCTTTTCATATAATACCTGGTAAGTTATTATTCTATTCAAATGCATTAAAATTAGCAAACATATATTAATGTAGTGGATTAAAAGTCGCCTATTATTGCACACGATGGCATTAATTTATTTAACTGCTCTTCATGATTCCAAAGGCGAATGGATAAGCAATATCTGTCCTTAGTTGTCAAATTGCTCACATTCTTCTCAGATGCAGCTCCCTCCCAAAAATTAAATAACCAAGCACCTAATTGGCCAGGAATATCAGTAATTGCATGCGAAAATGCAAAATATTAAATAATTTGATATATATTGGTTTGTCACTGAATTTATGCACTGCAGAAAGCCACAATATATGGTTTTGGCTTAAAATGCTGCATGAACCTGCGTTATAGGCTCTTCAACCATGTTTAGCATGATGCATGAACTCAGCAAATAATAATCATCTTGACTGAATGTGAAGGGGATTTGCACATTCTAAACAATTTAAGAGAAATATATACAATCATACAGGTAGTCTTTGACTTATGACAATTTGTTTAACAACAGTTTGAAGTTCTGATAGTACTGAAAAGGTGACTTATGACCTGTCCTTGAAGTTATGACTATTGCAGCATCCTATGGTCATGTGATTACAACTTGCAACCTTCCCAGCTTGCTTCTGATGAGCAAAGTCAATGGGAGAGCCGACAAGGAGGGCTGCAAATCATGATCACATGATTAACAACTGCGGTGATTCACTTAATCATGGCAAAATCATGGAACAGAAAAAAAAATAATCTTACTGTTCTTCAAGAAGACGGATGAATTTTTGCCTAGCCAATTGCATCAAGCCCTCAACTTCTTCTTGGGTTCGCTTGAAATTCTCAATGCTAAAGGCATAAACTGTGACTTCCCGGATACCCAAACTCAAGCACCATTGTAATGTCTATAGAGGAAGACAAGTTAAGGCAGAAATAGAATAAAACCTTGGTTTAAATTCCCCATTTAGTGGATGTAATAGATTACACTTCTGTCTAGATATCACCTTCCCAACTATTGGGCAAGTCCATTCCAACTGAATCTGAAGGTGGCAATTTAAATTAATTTTATATCACTTAGTGATCTACAGATGTCATTTGCATCACATTATCAAATGATGCAATGTAGAACACCGGCAGTGATTTGTGTAATTTAATTAAGCTGCTTTGAATAATTTGTGTTTTAGCCTATGTTTGGGTTTAACAGACATTTCCTCACTGCGGTTGATCCATTCAACTGAGGCTCTACTATAATTATACATTACTTTTTGGGTATTTTAGACAGCTGATGCAAGAAAGCTTTACCGCTGTTTAGCAATATGTTTTCTCTTCTCTTAAATGAAGGGTGTACAATTTTTACGGGTTCAAGTGCTGCATCAGGTTTTACATGGAACTTCAAGGACCACATTCCAAAAATAATTAGGACCAAGCCCATTTTGTGAGGAAAATTTAGAGAAATTTAAAGGGTGAAATTATTACCTTAAAACTTGCAAAGTAATCAACTTGCTTAAGAAAAAAAACAGAATTGATAACTCCCTCTTTTTTTAGCCTAGTAACATTTCAAAGACTAATATTACAAAAATGGGATGATGGCAGGTTGCACGAGGCTTTCCAGATGCCCTTTTTGCATCCTGCTAAATTAACTGACGTGTTGATGACCTGAAAATCAGACACAATTGGTATCCTGGTACATGTATGTAGCACATCATCAATTTCTCCCTTGCACATTATGAACATCCAATCTGGAAAGATCCAAAGACGAAAAAAGATCTCTTTCTCCCTCTCTCTCTCTGAGTTAGCAGCGATTTCTTCCTCTCCATGAGTGAACTGAGCAAGGAACAGATTCTTAATATAGTTCCAATCTGATCACTTTCAAAGAGTTTTTGAAATTAGTCCAACTAGGAGCTACAGGATTCCTACTAGTTTTTTTTTTAACAGGGGAGTCATGCTTTGGCATGTCATAGTAATCATTTTGAGATAATCATCTTTGCATTCTTGATGTGATGCTCAGGAAAGATTCTTCCTACCTGTGTTAATTTTGCAAAACCATGTGAATGTCCTTCCAGCTTCTTTACTTTATGCTTCTGAGCATAACGACGATTGCCATCCATGATGAATGCAATGTGCTTGGGCATTGGCCCTGCCTGGAATTGAAGCAAGAAATATTAGCCTGAGAGCAAGAGATGTACAAGTGAGACCAGAATTATTTTGAGATGACCCTACAGTTGAAACATGAATTCTCTGCTCTGGCCTCCTTAAGAAGTATCCCAGGAATAAATCATGAAGTCTGCTTCTGACCAATGAGTCTACAGCTGACTGAGCTGCAGTTCTATACTCCTGAAATACTTTTGAGGGAGAGAGAAAGCGTGAAAAGGGGCAGAGAGAGAGAGAAAGAAAGAAAAATCACAATACCTCTGTACTTCTAATCCTATAAAAAACTTGCAAGAACCATCACTCCTGAGATGGGAAGAAGATCAGAGAAAGGAAATATGGTTTAGAAGCTACTTCTTCTGCAAGTGGAAGGACTACAGAACCATCCTGGAATTTTACTAACATACTCTTATAAGATGCAAGTTTTATTTTAAATGTAAATCCCACCTTCCCTTCCATAAAATACTATGGCAGGCATTAAAAAACCAATGATTCCCAGAATAGAATGAGAATATAAAGATGGCAGCATGAAGATTCAAGCTGCCATCTTCATGAAAATGTCAAAGCTTCGAATTCTGGAAACATAACTTGGCCATTTACTTGCAAAATACAATAAGGACAGCAGACATGAACAATTCCTCTACTCCTAAATTCAGTGAGTGGCAGCTTTGTGCAATTCTGCCCCCAAATCAATTATTGATGGCTATGTAAGAGTTACAAGCTTTAGCATTCTTCTGCCCACTGTATGCAAGCAGAATTTTTTTGGCCTCACAGAAATTTGCTTTTGCATCTTTTTACTCAAAGGTACATTAACAAATAGAATCTACATGAAGAGGAAGACAATTCTTAGCTGGCACAATTTAACCATCATCTAGGAATACAATTCTCAACTGTGATCTCTTCCAAAGTTTTGGACAAGGACACCTACCATCTGACCCCCTAAGCTGACTGGAATAACTGATGTTGAGGTCAAAGCATCTGGAAGAGCTTCATCTGAAGAATGCTGTTCCTCCTCCCCTTAAATATTAAAAATTGTGATCCAATATTTCTTAGGTAAGCATTGCATTTCAGTAACTGAAGATAACATTGAGTTAGCACATACCTTTATTACGCTAGCACAGAATCTCTCCCATAGGGACAATTCGCCTTCTCTTATCCACGACATGGCGCTTTCCCTCAAGAACACGTCTTTGAAATGAAGAGAACAAACGTCAATGAGCAGGAATTCTGAGACAGAGAAGAACCTTTGGATCCACAAGTATACCAACTCTTCACGTATGAAAGCCAGCACCATCTGCCTTCCCAATTTTTTTGTATACTGGAACTTGTGAAGGCCAGGCTGGCTGGGTATTGAGTGCTATACTCACTTGAGGGATAACAGATTGGGCTAGATTACCCCTTTCCCCCAATGTTGTCATTTGCTTGGGAAAGAGAATATAGATTTCCACTTAAGTATTCTAACTAACCCAACGAAGCCAGTTTGGTATAGTAGTTAAGGCATCAGGGTAGAAAGGGGGAGACTGTAAATTCTATTCCCAACTTGGGCCAGTTCATCAGAAGATGTTGCAAATTATCTCTTTGTTTAAGCACAAGGAGGAAAAAAAGAAACCTCATAACCACCATGGTTGTTTCAGTGAAAATGACAGGAATAGAAGCATGGCATTCCTTTTTGAAGGGTGGGGGGTGTTCTTTCTATGGGCCCTTTCCAAGCTAAAGTACTCCTTTACTCAAACTGGTTTCCTTCTGACCTCCCAAAAGTCTATAGTATTTTTGGCAACAATTTCAAATTGATTGATACCTGCTGTCTTCAAGGAATTTTTTTTTTAAATCTTGCAGCCAAAATTCTTCTGGGAATTTTGTATAGTTGCCCCCTTCAAATATGAGCCAGGCCTAGCTGTGCTCATTTCAAAGCCCAGACAAAGATGGCCAGGTGCAACAGCTGCCTCAGAGCTAATGGTTTAGGTAGGATGTTAGCTTCCATTACTATGAGGGGAAACAGTATTCCCAAAGACTAACTTTAACTGTATCGTTGATATTTTTCATTTTGTAGTAAAAATATAATTAAGGGTTAATATTTGCAAATAATATTTATAAATGCAATAAATTAAGAGGTTTTTTTGTAAAATACAACCCACTCATGTCATATGAACACTTTTTTCAGTTCTAGTTGTTTCACAAGTGCAGAAGTATAAAACTATTCAGACTTTTACTGTTTACACAGAAGCCAATTTAAATAAAATGTACATCATCATGCAATCTCATCTGTTCCATAAAATGGAATCTTGCTCCCCTTTGTACACACTTAAATTGACATCAGATTGTTCCACTGGTTGGGTTGTTTTTTGCAATGCTTGGATTTGTTAGGATGGAGAAATACCATCCTTTCAGGATAAATCCTGGTGCGTTGATTGAGACTTATTATACGAAGGTCAGCGTTACTAATTTCATCACTAATGATCAGATTAATCCACAGTTAAGGGCTGTTAAGCCCAAACCAAGCCAACCAGGGAGGATAGGCACACACAGCATGCTAACCTTAGTGAGCATTTAACCTTGGTTACGCTTTCTTTCCGTGGGGCTCGGCGCTGTTGTGCAAACTCACCCAGTCCAGTCAGGTTAGCTTTAGGACATACCGCCCTCCACGCCGGTCCTGAAAATGCATTAAATGAAACGCCCGGGGAATGCCCTCAATGAGAGGGCTCTTTGCACGTGGACGTGAGGACACCCGTCTACACGCCATTGGGGTCGCGTTCGGAAGCACCGCGGTGGAACCTTTCCCCCTTAAAAAAAGAGGCACAAGCGGACCCCGCGCCTTCCCGTCCCACCCCGCTTCATTCAAGCCGGAAAACCGCGGGGCGTCCTCCACGGCACCCTCTGCCTCCGGCAAGCGCCAAAGCAGGAGCAGCCCCGGGCCGGAGCTTCCACCCCACCCAAATCGCTTCGCGCGCTTGCGTCGTCCCCTGCCAGTCCTCACCTGTCGGGCTCCAGCTCGCGCCTGCCTGCGCCTCGGCGGTGCCGCCACGACTCTCCTGCCAGGGGTGGGACTCGCCCTTCCGTATATGTCACGCCGCCCCGGCTGCCGGCTTGCGTCATTCTCTCGCAACGGCACGCGCGTATGGGGGGGCGGGGGGGGGGGGGGGGGAAGCGGGGGGGGGGGCTGTGGGGGGGCGGAGCCGAGCCGAGATTCCGCGGAGTCGACTCTGTTGAGTCCGAAGCGCCGGTTGGCCGTGAGGGGACCCGTTGGGTGGCGCGCGGGCCAACGGCTGATTTGAGTTGCAGCCGTTCCGGGGGTGGGCTGGGAGGTTTGTCATTTGAATTTTGGTCCTTCTTCCTCCTCTGCCCCCCCCCCCCCCCCACACACACACTGCTGTCGTCGTTGTCGTTCTTGAAGGCTTAAAGGATGTTTAAGGACGCCGAAAGTAATCCTGACTGGGTTGCGAAGCTCAGTGGAATTCGCAGCGGAGTTTTTAAGCGTTTGACTCCGCCATGAAGTAATTCCTAGTGTGTTTATTGAGGCAGTTGACTTCCAGGCGAGTTGTTTATATAGCGATGTTTTAACCCAGCATTGGGGATTCTGGGAGTTGAAGTCCTCACATGTTCAAGTGGCCAAGTTTGAGTAATGCTGGACTGTAAGCCTGACACCCAGTGGTACCTCTGCGTAAATTGTACCCTTCGGTATATCATGCCCCAGTCGTGTTATTTTTTTATATGGAAATATTAAGCTAGTATTTGCACTTGATTTTTTTTCCCCAGTAGTCACTAAGGGCTTAATTCTACAGTGTTGAAAATTAAGGTGGGTTTATACCGGTAGCATTTTTAAAGGAACTATGTTACCAAGGGTATTCCTATCCTGCAGAAAGGAAAGCAGATGTTTAACATGATGTTTCTTGCAGTTGTTTGTTGTTATGAATGAAATTTAACATCATTTCCCCTTTTTTATTAAGACTTGTCGAGAAAGGCATCAAAATCCATTTGGCAGAATTGTTGCCAGGGAGTCGGGTGATAATCGTAGGCATCCCTGCCCAAAGATTTTTGGAATGATATCTTGTAAATAATGATTACGAAAGTGTAATTAAAAAGGTGTGTGTCATATCTTGCCAGCAAACATCTGGGGAGCTAGATGAGAGTTCAGGGGACAAGGGCCTCCAGAAGTTGTGAATGCTCCAACACTGGAAGTTTTTAAGAAGAGATTGGATAACCATTTGTCTGAAGTGGTGTAGGGTTTCCTGCCTAAGCAGGGGGTTGAACTAGAAGACCTCCAAGGTCCCTTCCAACTGTTATTCTGTTCTAACATGGATCAAGACAAAGCAGAAAGAGCTAAAACTGGGAACATGAGGCAGATAGTATATTGAAAGAATGACATAGATGTCATCACTTGAGACTTTCAAGAAGAGATTGGACTGCCATTTGTCAGAAATGGTGTAGAGTCTCCCACTTGGGCGGAGGGGTTGGACTAGATGACTTACAAGGTCCCTTCCAACTCTGATTATCTGTTATCTGCAAGGGTTGACTATCATAGAGTTTACAAATCCAACTATCAACAGAAGAATAAAGAGGAGATAGTTGTTTAAAGAGGATTACTATATTACAGACTAAAGATTGAAGGAGTAAGGCTGAACATGGAGGAATTATGCTAGTGCAAGTTGAATGAGACAGGTTGATCAGTGGAAGAATTCCACAATGGAGAGACTGAACACAACTATTTTTTCTTGATGGACAAGTTCAAAAGAATGTTCAAGGCAAATCCATTGGTAAAGATCAAAGGAAGAGACAAGAAATAGAATATGGAAAGTAGATGAGTCGGAAGAATTTTTAACATGTCTATTGCAATCACCATGTAGATATAGCACAATAACAATTTGTGTAGGCTTAAGTGTTGCAGAGAAGTTGATATCCTTTCAGTGTGGGTTTCCCTGACAGTTCACGAGATAACCCGTTCTCATGCTTTTCAAAATAGTTCCTTCATTTTTAGTTTATTCAGTACCCAGTTACAAAGAAAGGATCACTACAGGTAGTCTGTATAGGTCTCCTTTTCCCAATCTGGGCAGCATGCATCTGGTGAATGAAATATTCACTCCAAAAAACAGTCTCCAAAACTTCTCATCATTTCAGTGAAGGGACTGTATTTAGCTACCTTGGTTTTTCTTAACCTTATGCTTCCAGATGTGTCAAATGATATCTCTTAGTGGCAGTATTAACTATCTGTATACCACTGGATGGTCTTGGTCGGGCATACTAGGATTTCAATACTACCTAGATATTTCTAGGGCAGGAATGCAGAGACTTGGAAGAACACAACATGGAAAACCAGGCTTCAAAAATCCTTCAGCGAAGCATCCCAAAATTCAAAAGGGAAAGCAATCCAGCTGAAAAAATCCCCACCATATTGACCTTGGGTACTTCACTAGAAGTTTGTCTGACTTGTTGTTCCAATTGATTTTGTGATTTAGATTTTTTTTTTCAAATGAAAAGAGACGTTAAATGAGATACTGGAATGCTACAAAGTGAAGTATCTTTTCCTAGTGTCATTTCTTGTTTCTTCTGATGACCCCATAGGCATTCTCAGAAAACAAAACTGGTGAATTCTGCAGGCTTTTGTTTGGAAATATTATTACTTGCCCAGAAATCAAAACCATATCTTGGTAAGGTGAGTGTTCTGTCATCCAGCAAATGGGTGCTTGTGTCAACTATTTTTGGGAACATGCGTGCCCTTGTCATGGCAACATAAAGTGACAGCACATGCAAAATGTTCTCAAAATTAATCAAACCCCCAGATGTGGGAATTTCTATAAATGTATTAAATATATTTTCCTTTTCCTCCCTTAGATATTATGGTAAATGTAGAGTGAGAGTAATCCTTGAAGAAAGCATCATGACAATGAGATTCAGGATGCCATATTCCATGGATGTTTTCTTGTAAGTAAATAAGTTTTAGTTGCTGTAGCTGTATGTCATAACAATGTAATATAGCTTTAAATGCAATAAAACAAAATCACAATAAAATTAACAAAGACATACAAAGAGATCAAAACAATAAAAGTCTGGGCTACAATTGAGAATTTAAATGTTTCTAAGTTTACATAGTAACAAAGCAGAAGTAGAAACTTTTGCAAAGAAACATAATCCTTTCATATCACGCCCCCCATCCTGTCAGAACCTATCCTTCCATCCCTCCCACCATCATCTACTCTTAACTGTCAGTACCGTCTCCCCCACTATCCATCTCCCACCATCCATTACAACTGATGAAGCTTCCTTGACAGGAAGTGAAATGTCGTCTTCCTCAAAAAAAACCAGTCCAGTTGCTTTTAAAAATAATTTAAAAAACACCTTTGAGAAAAGCAAAATTAGCAACATGATTACTGCATTAGTGGGAGTATCACAGTGAAGTCGGTTGGTTGATTAACAACATCCCTTCTCCCCCATTCGATTCCCGCCTTCCACATCTTTTAATTGAGTCATAGTATTTTGTAATTTGTATTTATGTTTTTAATTTATATAGTTTTATTTTTTATGATTGTAAACCACCCAGAGTTACCTTGAGGTAAGATGGGTGGCCTATAAATTTTATAAACAAACAAACAAACAAATAAATAA